CTCTCTCTCTCACCAGTTGTGTGATCCCAAGCAAGTTACTTCTCTGAGCCGCCACATCATCATGTCCAAGGCGAAGATGATGGTGTTTATTCCCTAGCCTTCCAGGGAGGAGTAAACGAAATACAGTATGTACATCTGTTCCCAGGTGATGGCAAAAACATTCGTCCATCTTCACTCATTTCATAAAATTTCAAGATCCTTCTAGAAACCTGGAAATTCCTGCTCCCACCCCACCCCTATCCCATCAAGATCAGGCCACAATCAGCGGTCACCTAGATCACTGCAACTTCCTCCTACCTCATCTGTCCATGATACTTACTCAGTTTTAACCCCTCCACCTCACAGCAACCAGAGTGATCCTTCTAGTCTGAAAAATCTGATTATATCACTCACTCAACACCGTTCAGTAGTTTCTAATGGCCCTTAGGATGGATGATACACTCCTTGTCACAGCCCACAATGTCCTGCAAGCTGTTCCCTAGGCCTGGAATAATCTTCGTGCCCTCCCTCTTAACTCCACCTCAGGTGGCCTCCCTCTTCAACTTGCCGATCTTTCATCAGGGCTTAACTTGATGTCACCTCCTCCAGGAAGCTTCCCGTGATTGCCTCCCTCCAGCTGAATTTAGCTGACCTTGCTGCATGCTCCTATAGCACCCCACATGTTCCCAGGCAGCTTGTCAAGCTACACAAGCAGTTGCTTGTCCAGGTTCCTGTCATACAGTGTAAACTACAAAGGGTCAGAAGCCTTTGCATGCTCATCACTTTGTCCTGTGATAACAAGAGATGTGGTGGACAGTCAGTTAATATGAGCTTATAGGATGAATGGAAGTTGGATGCCTGGGTACATAGACAGACGGAAAAAAGTGACACCTCCCCTGTGAAGTCTTCCTGGAGTCCTCTGGGCATGGAGTTTTTCATCTGTGCTTCATAAAGCCTAGTGCAAACCTCCTCTCAAGCCTTATTTTTTTCTCAGCTATAAAAAGGGGAAAATAACACTGCCTACCTCATGGGGTTACTGATATTAAATGATATAAGCCATGTAATAGTTTTAAGTCCAGGATAATAGGTTGTTAAATTTGAATAAGATAATCCACTTAAAGCGCTTAGAACAAGATCTTGCCCTTAATAAGTGCTGGGAGAACGTTAATAACTATCATAACATTTACCATTGCTTGCTGCCTAAGTCACTTGTTAAAGAGCGAGCTCCTCAGGGGTATGGTTTAGGTCTTCCTCATTGGGGGGCACACCAGCCCAACCACACCACATTCCCTCTCAAGGAGGGGACAAATGAATGCAAATTTCCCAGCCTGATGATTCAGGGCACAGCACCCCCGTCATCACTCACAAACTCAGACACACGCTAACACAAACCGTCTCTTACACATTCACACCCACTCACATTCATTCAAAGAACCCCAAAATACCACAGAGCAGCCACCTGGTTTCCTAAAGTCAGCCATGTGGAAATGAAGAATCTTACTCAATTTACCGCACCCTCCACACACCACGGCCATGCCCAGCACCCTCCCCAAAAACAACAGGGGCTGTAGGAGCGAGGGGGCTCCCCTCACGGGAGGGAAAGCAAAGCTGGGTCTTCAGCCCCCAGCACAGCAACATCGCAGCCAGGGATAATGCTGTTCTCCATCCCTTCCATCAGGGCTCATCTCTTCCCCCCTCTGTAAACCGGGTCCTTGGCCTTGGCAGGTGGTTGAGGAAAAGGCCAGAAAGCCAGAACACCTGGGATCTTCTTCACTCATCTAGTCTTGTCTCTGAATCTGGAAGCATAGGCCATTGTCCTCCTATCCTAGTGCCAAGCACAGCAACCTAAGGAAGAAGTTCTTCCTTAGGAAGAAGTCAGGAGAAGGAGACCCAAGGCCTAGGGTGGTGGAAGGGACTTCTTAGCCTGGGGGTGAAATAATTATATTAGCCACCATTTACTGGCCTAACCAGGGTCAGACACTGAACCCAGGGTTTCCAATACATGATACTCCGTTGAATTCTCACAACCCTTTTTCCGGAGGAGGACACTTGAGGGGCTGCAGGTTAGACTATCCTAAACTCACCAGCGGGGACTGGCACGCAGATATCTAATTCCAGAATCCTCAACTACCAAGCTCTAGCGAATTTGGGGTGGGTGAAGTGGGAGGACTGGGAGGGTCCTCAGTCAGTAAACGGTGGGGGGGGACAGGGGGACATCCCCCAAGGCATCGCTGGTCCCCCAATCTGCCAGGTCCTCACTTCCCCCAAGGAAAAGGGGCACCCTACACAGCGGTGGGGGTTCGTCTCCCCCCGGGGTCGGGGGGGGGGCCGGCCTGGGCGGGGCCGAGGTGGGGCGGGGTGTGGGGGGAGACGGGAGCCGGTGGCCCAGGCTCACAGGCCAAGATGGCTGTTAATTAAAGTGCTGGCACAAGCTCCTCTCTGCAAAGTTTGAAGCCGTTATTTTCCACTCCAGCGAAGCGGGGAGAATCCGGCTGGGCTGACAGAGACGCCACACCGCGCCAGGGAGCGGGCGCTCTTTCGGGGGGCGGGGGGCAGGCCGCCTCGCCGCGCGGAGCTCGCCCCACGGACTCGGCGAGAGCCCGGGTTGGGAGGGTTGCGGGCGCTCCCTCTTGGTCCTCCGCCTGGGGCGTCCGCAGCACTTTCCCGGCGGGTCCTGGGAGGGTTTTGGGTGACAGCCGAGTCCCAGCTGCACAGCAGCGGAGAGACCCATGTACGTGAGAACCTGGGGGGAGGGGGACTGTGCAAATCACACGCTAAAGGCCACGCAATTGTCCCTCGGGTCACCAGCCTTGTCACTTTACGAAGAGACATATTGGGGGAAACCAAGGTGGGGGACAGGAGACCGGCTGACAGCTGAAGACGACTCTTTCGAGTCTGGGAGGTCTAGCTCCTCAGACAGCCTAGCGCCCCCCTCCTCCCGGACTTAACACTTTCCTCCCTTTGGGCATTGAACGTACCTGGAGACCCAGTCGCGCTCGGGTTGGAAGGGAGTCGGGCTGCCGGTTTGAATCCCGACTCTACCACTTATTAGTTGTGTGACTTTGGGAAAAATCTCTTCACTTGCCAGAGCCTCGGCTTTCCATCTGTAAAATGAGAAAAACGATGGGCTTTACCTCTAGGGCTTGGTGTGAAGCTCCAGTGTGTTCATGTATGTAAAGCATTCAATACAGAGCCTGGCACACATTAAGCCCTGAATAAATGCTATTTATTGAATTGATTTAACTCCCTCCTTGGTGCTCGGGGGTCCCTCCAACTGGGCTCTGCCATCAGAGTCCTCTCTCATAGCCCTTCATTTGATATCCTCATGTCCTTTTCCTCCTCCCAGTGCTGCGTGGGGTAAGCAGTCTCATCTTAGGGTAGAGAAAGCCAGAGAACCATAAGGACGGTTGTGACCAGTCAGCACCGGGAGAGTGGGAGGTGGGAGGGGGGCCTCTCAGAAGAAAAGGAAGAGGCTGGAGGGTCATCCTTTAGCTGCAGCCAGAGGCCTCTGGAGGCAGAGCCCTCCTTGGTGGGCTGGGTAAAGGAGGGTGAAGGAGAACAGTGGGACAGCATGAGCAGGGCCTCAAATAATGTGACAAATATTTTGATGGAAGCAGACACATTTCCGTTTATGCAAGCTAAACACTTTACTGCACTTGAGGAAGAGGGTGGCCTCATGCAACCTGATGGGGAGAAAAGGCAGGGGGCTGCTGAGGAGGCCAGGGTGGTGGAGGAGCTGAGGGGCTGGGTGAAACCAGTCTCCCCTCTTGGAGGCTGGAAAAGGGAGCTACCACCCAGGGACTGCTTGTATTGGTCAGAATGAAGAAATGAAGTGGGATGGATGCCCACTTTCTTAGGGCCCTCATTTCTCCCTTGTCTAAAAGCAGGGACAACCGGATTGATCAGAGGAAAATGGAGGACACCCCCCCCCCCCCGAAAAAAGCAGCCTTGTCTGGCCTGGAGCTCGTGAGGAAGGGGCAGAGGCAAGATGGCATGCCTAGAAGATCCCGCCCCTCCTGGAGGAAGTCAGGGCCAGGGAACAGCCAGGATCCAGAAAAGGGAAGGGGTAGCTGCTGTCAGTTACTTGGGATCTCACCGGGCACCCCGACAGGCACATGACCCCCAGATCTCCTGAATGGGCGGTCTGGGAGGGCTGAATGCAGAATGGCCCCCTCCCCATCTTCCTTTTGCCTTCTACACTTCTTCCCTCTCAGCGTCTTCCTTGTCCCTTTTTGCTCCCCACTCTATACGCCCCTCAATTGCTCTTTGTCCCCAGCAGACTGGGGAACCGTCCACCCCGGCCTCTACCCCCTGCGTGCGGTGGCGCCTAGAGCCTTCCTCTCGATTTTCTTGATTTTCTTTAAAACCAACACTCGAGGTCTCCCCTCTCCGTCTCCCTCGGCGCTCTCTAGCTCTCCCTGTGGCCCTCTTCCATTCGATCTTTGGTCCCTACTCTCCCCTTCCCTGTAGGAAACTCTACAGTTTCTCAGACTCTAGCATCCTCCCCGTTTCCGAATCTCAGTCTCTAGCTCCCTGAGTCTCCCGGCTCCACTCCCGGCTCTGGCCTTCTTCCCGCGGCCCCGCCCCCCTCGGTGGGCAGAGCCCTACCACCAGCGGCCCAATTAGGTGCCGGCCCCTCCCACAGCCCCACCCCTCGCGGGCGCCAAGCCGCGCGAAGCTGGCGGGGCGGGGCGGGGCGGAGGGGGCGGTGGCCCGAGAGCTAGGAGGCGGGAGGAGCCGGGCAGGACGCTGCCGCCGCGGCTCTCAGTCCGGCGGCGCAGCGGGAGGGAGGCGCGAGGCAGGAGCCCGCGGCTGGGCTCGGCGGCGCATCCAGCGCAGCGCGGCGCTCCGGGCCCGGCCCCATGCCCGCAGCCCCGCCGGACCGCCCTTGAGCGCGGGCGCCCTGCCCGCGCCCCCCGCCCGCCGGCACCATTGCCCCGACGGCGCGGCCGGGTGGCCCGGCGCTCCCCAGGCTCCGCGCCGGCCGGAAAACGCTGCTGGCGGCCGCTGCGGGCGTGGTGATGCTGCTGGTGCTGGTGGTGCTCATCCCCGTGCTGGTGAGCTCGGGCGGCCCGGACGGCCACTATGAGATGCTGGGCACCTGCCGCATGGTATGCGACCCCTACCCCGCGCGGGGCCCCGGCGCCGGCGTGCGGCCCGACGGCGGCGACGCCCTGAGCGAGCAGAGTGGCGCGCCCCCGCCTTCCACGCTGGTGCAGGGCCCCCAGGGGAAGCCGGGCCGCACAGGCAAGCCGGGCCCCCCCGGGCCCCCTGGGGACCCAGGTCCTCCGGGTCCTGTGGGGCCACCGGGGGAGAAGGGTGAGCCGGGCAAGACCGGCCCTCCCGGGTTGCCGGGTGCAGGAGGCAGTGGCGCCATCAGCACGGCCACCTACACCACGGTGCCTCGCGTGGCCTTCTACGCCGGCCTCAAGAACCCTCACGAGGGTTACGAGGTGCTCAAGTTCGACGACGTGGTCACCAACCTAGGCAACAACTACGACGCGACCAGCGGCAAGTTTACGTGCAACATTCCCGGCACCTACTTTTTCACCTACCACGTCCTCATGCGCGGCGGCGACGGCACCAGTATGTGGGCGGACCTCTGCAAGAACGGCCAGGTGGGCCCGGCGGGGGCATGGGGCTGGCCTGGGGGCAGGGCACCCAGGGAGCCCGGGACGTATGGGTACCAGCGGGCACAGGTGGAGACCCTACAGCGGCCCCGCTTAGGCATCATATGCGGGAATGGTGGACCGGTTGGCACTAACTCCTCGGCTCCTGGGCACTGGCTGCAAGGCAGACGCTGCCGGGCACCCGCGCGCGGCATGGAAATGTGGGAGATAAAACCAAATAATCAGGGCGCAGCGCTCCCAGGGGTGCGGACTGGTGCTTGGGGGCTTGGCCCTTGGGATGCGCTATCTGGGAGCTGGGACTGTGGTTGATACCAGCGGGCGATTAGGGGAGGGCAAAGATGGGCTCTGAGGAAAGGCAGCCTCTGGCGCCCGCGGGCGTCCAGGCGCACCGCTAGGCGCGCAAGCCGAGAAAGCAAGACGTTTTGGGCACAGAGGCAAAGGGAGCCAGGGGCGCAAAGCCTTAGCTGCAGTACAGCCTCTGGCCCTGAGAAAGGACCCCTGGGCCAATCTGACACCCTTGCAAAAACCGGGGACATCCCAGTGGCTGCCCGCTGCGTTAGAGCTGCAGGCACAAGAAAGCAGCCTGGGGGGAAAAGTTTTTCCTCCTGAGGCGGGGCAAAGAGGTGGAAACTCCCCCTCCCTGGATCATGCAGCTGCAGCTCCTGACTCCTGGAGTGTCTGGGGATCCTCTTCGTCCCCTATCCCCATCTCAGAGACTCAAGCCTGCACTCAGATCGGGGAACTGGGGAGGTAGTGCATGGCGCTCTCAGAAACTGCTGCCTCCCCCGCCTCCCGGACCAACCGGGACCTAACCCTGCCCCAGGGTGACAATTTTGTCCAGCTCCCTTCCCTTTTGATACACCCTCCCTTTCCAGTGCTCCTAAACCACGGTGGCCTAGGGCACTCCCCGCTCATGGGGGTGGGGTGGGGTGGGGGTGGGGGTGAGGCAGAGCATTCCTGTGGAAGGAGACTAGCAAGGGTCTGGAGTAAAGCTAGGAGGTGGGAGTTGGGAAGGAATCTCCCACGCCTGGGACCCAAGACCCTGTTGGAACCCTTCCCACTGCAGTATTACCCTGAGGCAGAGCCTGGCTTGGGGGTGGGGGAAAGGACAGGCATGGGAGTCAGCACAACGATTACAAGGCACCTGTAAGTCTACCCCCTCTTCTTTTTCTCCTGCCTGCCTCTTTTCCTACTCTCTCTTGTCCCTGGCTCTCTCCTGTGTCCACCAGTCCTATCTGCCTCTCTGGGGTTTCTGGCCTCTTTCCCTGGGCTTCACACCCCTCTTTATTCCTTGAATGTCTCTCTCCCACTTGTGTCTGTCAGGCTTCCTGCATCTCTCCTCTTTGTCCTTGGTTCCTGACCCAATGGGAGGCCTAAGTGTCCAGTGAGGGCTCACTCAGCAGACAGCCCCATGATTCCTCTTATTAATCACCTATAAGGGATGCAGCAATGTCACCTTCATCAATGGAATGTCTTCCTTTCCCAAAGAAAGTTTGGGCTGGCCCCGAGCTGAGGTTTCAGGGGGCTGAGGGCCCATTTTGCCCGGAGAGGGAGCTGGTCACCAGACCCCCAATAGGCCCTAGACCTTGCACGACCTGGGAAGGTTGCAACAGGGCCCTAGAGATGAGGCCAGAGGTGGCCCCGCAGGTGATGTGTGCTTGGACAGGGGCACTTGCTTTAGTCACTGGGAGGTGAAACTGTCTCAAAGGCTCTCCTTTCCCCGTCAGCAGGGGCAAGGCATTCACAGAGCCTCACAAGGAGGTACTCACGGGAGATGGGACCCCAGGCTAGTAGAAAAAAGCAGGTGGTTTTAACTAACAGTTTCACAGACCCAGCATTTTAACAGTTACTCAAACCATCCCCTCCACACACAAAAAAGGGGGCCTACATCCCTTTCCCCTACATCCTTTCTGACTTGTCTTTCCAGATAGCTCAAGAGACTCATTCAATCTCACGAGTCATCCCCCATATTCATTTTGAACCCTACTGGGTGCTAGGTTTGGAGCTAGGTAGCAGGGGGCAGCTCCACCTGCCCTCCGGGATCTCACGGTCTGTGCAGGGGGGATAGTGGCAACCACACAACAACACACCCCAGCAATTAGTGTGTTAGAGGAGGACTGGGAGCCCAGCTGGCAACTCCTGTCCCCAAACGTGTTAGCTGGAGGGAATGATTCAGTGGGCCCTGCCCCAACTCAGACCAACCTGGTCAAGGGAAAAGACGTCGAACCCGGGGCTGTCCCCAAGATAAGGAGACATGTCTAGAGAGAAAATAAGATCAAGTGTGGGAAAAGTCTGCCTTAGAGGTAGAAGAGGACATTCAAGTGAGCAGAGAAAGAAGGACGGCCCTGGGCAATGGACGGGAACAGAACAGAGGGGCTTCTGCTTCAATTGACTTCAAGACCAGAGGCAATGCTGGGCTCTGTGCTTTTCCTTTTTGGCTTCCCGCCTGCAGAAAAGCCTCCAGAATTTCCTCAAGGAAGCTGAGCTGAAATTGTTCCCTGGCAAGACAGGGGGAGGGGACACTACCTTCCTGCCTGGTACAAGGCCCCCCACCCCCCTCATCCTTGCCACCAGTCCCTCTCCCTAAGGGGAGCCTGAGTCACCACTGCACAGCCTGATGGCACCAAGCCCTGGTCATTAGGACATGGGATTTGAGGAGCCCCAGGAAGGGGCTCTAGATTGGGGGTTACCTGAGTGAGGTAAGCTCCCTGCAGCTGCCTCAAGGGTCCCCAGTTCAGATGGGTCAGGGAAGATAGGAAACTAATAAACTGGGCCGGGAGAGTGGACTGTGTGGGAATGGGCCAGGGCCCATTTGCACCCATTGCCAGAGTGCAAACCATCCAGGGCAGGGGCTTTGGGAAGGTGTGTGTATTACAAAAGGGGAAGGGCTCAGACAGCAGAGCCTGGGGAGGGGGGGTGTAGTGTATGAGTTGAGGACTCCCGTGGAAAGGCCTCACTGGAGCCCAGCCTGGCGCCCGACAGTGGGAGAGAGGCTCCTGCTGTCCTTTTCTAGGCTTGAATACCTTTCACGGTGCAGACCCCTGTGCCTAGCACAGTAGGGACCCTGTCAATGCGTGACAGCACGTGTCCCCTGCGAGCCCGGTGGGCTGCCTGTGGGAGCCCTTCCTGCACCTCTGACACCCCAGCATGACCCGGGGGCAGGGGCATGCTTCCTGGGTTCTCCCCCTCCTCCTGCCAGGGCCCTGGTCAGACCACTGCCTCAGTTTCCCTTCCGGCAGCACTCGCGGAGGTGATTCTACAGCGCCCCCTCGCGACAAGTCCCAGACTTGCTTTCCTGCTTCCATGGCAACCTCCAGTCCCCAAATTTCCCCTTTGCCCCCAGGAGGAGTTGGATGCCTCCACCGTTTCCAGTCGCAGGCAGAGAATCAGGATCCCTGGGTTCTGTTCCTGGATCCCCCACCGTCTAAGGATGGAGGGGCATAAATTCTCCCTGCCTCCTTGGATAATTAGGATAATCACAGCAACAATCATGGTGATGAATAAATAATAAACATAAGCGTAACTGTTCTGATGCCTGTCACATCACCAGGAGAACCCCGATGACAGATGACTCTATTCTGATGGATTTGGCTATTAAGCACATTGTTTTAATGAGTTAAGGCTAAATTAATCTGGGTAATAAAAATAATTGTTATTAGTAGTAATTTATTAGCAAAGATAATGAAATGCATGCGTAATAATAAATACTACAAGGATTAGGGCCCAGGGAACAATACAGAAGTTGGCTGCTTGCTTTGAGCTCTTGCCTAGTAGCACAAAAGCCCCATCAAGATTAAAATTTTTTTCTTCACCACCAAAGGCTTTTATAAAGGTTGCAGTGGTGAGGCGGGATCTTCTTATCCATTTTCTAAACAGAAAAACTGAACTTCTAGACAGACAGCGCCTTCCCCTTGTTTGATTTTCTCTCCCTTTTGCTGAATTGCGAGCTTTCCTAGCTAAGTGCCCCCCAAACAGTGCCTTCCCTGAGGGGAGGGAAGGGGCTGGAAGGATCTGGACTTTAAATGGCAGACCGCATGCAAATGAATTGAGTCCTCCTGTTGCGACGTATTGCTGAGTCAGCAACTGTGGCCCAGCGGACCTGGCAATTCTGCCTCCCGCCCAGGAAGGAGATGGGGCCCTTCCCCTTATTTGCCTGTGGCCAGGCCAGACTGTCAGTCCTTGGGGGAAAGCTGCCTTCGCGGAAGGGGCAGGGTGGAGAGGGGCTGATGAGGAGGCGGGCTGAGGGAACCACCCAACACAAGCCTGCACCTTGGAGATGGCCCCTCTCTTCCCGTTCTCCACCGAGGCTATCCTGGAGAGGCCCCAGATCCTATGGCTCAGACCTTGGGTTGCCTCAGTTGTGGAAGAGGCATGCCTGGAGGGAATTTGCCCACCGCCACCGCCCACCCTCAATATCTTATGATTATAGTCAGAGCCCCCAAGAGTGACAGCAGGCTTCACACCTAAAGGCTGGGGCTCTCTTATTCTACGTCCTGCCTGTCCCTCCCCTCCCCATCAAAACAAGGACCAGCAAGGATATCAGATCAGACTGAGGGTCACAGAAAGATGTAAAACCTGGATTTCTCTTCTTCCCACCTACTTTCTTTCTACCACCCTGGGGTGAGAGATAAGAGGAGCCAGAAGTCCTCTGTCAGGGGGCTGGGGGGAATAGTCACGGGCTATGTAGCAATAGCTCTTTGGAGACCAGGTTGCAGGCTCAAACTGAGCCTTGGGAGGGGAAATAATTACCAGGACTTCCCTCTCACTGCTCCACTGTGAAAGACTCCAGAATGAACTACAGACGAGGAGTTGAAAGATTGGGTTCTGGTGCTAGGGTGGTTGCTTAGTAGCAGTCTGGCGTTTGTCTAGCCACCTGGCCTTTGGGGCCAAGGAGCACCCTTGTGTCCATCCACTGATGCAAGCACAGGTGGGTATGGCTGAAAAGTAAAGCATTATTGCTACAGTTAAAGCAGAGAGGAAGGAATGATAAGGAGGAGATGGTCCTCCATCAGCTGGTATTCCAGAGAATTCCTCTTTGCAAGGAGGGCGGTCCAGGCTGGGACATCCTGGAGGCATTGTTGAGGGCCTCAGCAGGTCAGAGGGGAAGACCTAGAAGCATTAAGGAGGCAAACTCCACCTCGATTCCTAATTCAGATCCAGATGACACCAGCCCTAGAAATCCAGAGCTCCTCTAGAACCCGGTCCCAAAACACACAGTTAGCATTGGAAAAGGGTGGGGGGGATGATGGGAGAGAAGCCGGCTGAGAGCTGAAGGCGGGGCTTTGAGGGCCTCCAAGATCCGCCGCCCCCCACCCTCCCATGGCTGCCGTACCTCTGACAGTCCCCCTCCCTCCCCGACCCTACTTCTCTCCCTCCTCCCCCTACCCTCTCACACACACCACCCCTAACCACCCCCCGCAGGTGCGGGCCAGCGCCATAGCCCAGGACGCAGACCAGAACTATGACTACGCCAGCAACAGCGTGATCCTGCACCTGGACGCGGGCGACGAGGTCTTCATCAAGCTGGACGGAGGCAAAGCGCACGGCGGCAACAGCAACAAATACAGCACATTCTCGGGCTTCATCATCTACTCCGACTGAACTCCCCGCGCCCCTCTCTGTCCCGTATCCGTCCGCCCACACCCCTGTCCGGGGCTCCCCTCCCGGCTGGCTGAGGACCACCCAACCCCTCTCTGCCCAGCCCCGGCTGGCGGCCCATCCCGGCTATGACGCCCCCCGGCCCGCCCTCACCACCGCCCCGGCCGAAGGCTAGGCTCTCCTGCCCGCTCGCCGCAGAGCCGGGTCCAGAGCGCGCCCGGTCCCGGTCCGCCGGAGGCGGTGTCTGCAGCCCTCGCCCCGGCTCGCGCTGTACATTTGTACTATAGGACTGTTTATGGCCCACCCTGCTCGCCTGCCGGTCCCAGACTGGGGACAGGTCTCGGCGGGGACCCTTCCCGTGCTCGGATGCGCTGCCCTCCGGCTCCGGGGTGGCGCCTCCTGGGAGAGGGGTGGGTTGGGGCCGGATTGCGTCCCAGCACCTGCTAAAGCCCCAGCCCGGCTGCGCCCCGTCTGACCAAAGCTCTAATAAAAACACTTCCACCCCGCTGGCTTTGGGTCTGTGCCCTGGAGAGGAGTTGCAGAAGGAGACCACAAACCCTGCCCTCTTCCAGAAAGGAAAGGGGTCTGACGGAAGTTTCCCATGGATCTGGGGGCAGCCAGGTGCTAGAATCTGAGCTGCTCCAGCCTGGGCAGCAGAAATGGGAAGCAGCCCAGTTCCATCATCACCTTCCATGGCGGAAAAGTTCCATTTGTTTGTCCTCGAAAGCGCCATCAGCAAGGTCTAAACTGGGACACCCCGGTTCTCAGTCCAGTACCACTGTGTGTGATCTTGGGCAAGTCCCTCCTCTTTCAGTTCTGGGTTAGCGACAGCAATGACAGGAACACACTTTGCACCGAAAACTGGTTGACTTTGGCCCAGGCGCTTCACCTCTGGGCCTCAGTTTTCTCATAAAATATAAGTGACAAGACTCACCTTGCGTGACTGAGGATTCCAGAGGTATCATGTCTGTGTCCAATAAACGCAGCTTTTATTATCTCTACGTCACTGAAAGCTCGCACAGCGCTTCCAATAATGGCATCTCGCTCAACCATCCCAAGAGCCCTGAGAGGCTTGGTGAGTAGATTTTGTTCTTCTTCCAGGGAGGTCAAATATCTTGCTTTGTGTGACATAGTCACTAAGTTCTGTGACTGCACTCGAATCCCAGAAGCCCGGCTCCAGACAACACACCGAGTTCTCCTTGTCCTGCCCCAGCCGACCTCCCCTCCTATAACTGGGACCCTCAACAATTGCCATTAGGACATTGCTAAATAATAATAACTAATACTCAGGGACACCTGGGGGACATAGTCGGTTAAGCACCCGACTCTTGGTTTCAGCTCAGGTCATGATCTCGGGGTCCTGGGATCGAGCCCCACATTGAGCCCTGGGTATGGAGGCTGCTTGGGATTCTCTTCTCCCCCTCCCCCTGCTTCTCCCTCCCCCACTCTGGCTCATGAGTGCCCTCTCACTCAAATAAATGAATAAATCTTAAAAAAAAAAAAAAAAAAAAGAAGAGCTAAGATTTAGAGAGTACCCAGTCTGTGTCAGGCACCACATGACAACGTTATGGATACTATCTCATAGATATGTAGGTGGGGTGGGGTGGACTGGCAGGAAATGCTCCCATGTCCAATAACATGGGCACTGTTATCTTACCCATTTCAGATCGGGAAACTGAGAGAGGTTAATAACTTGCCAGGGTCACAGAGCTAGGAAAAGGCCAATGTCAGTATTTGAACCAAAGACCTTGCTCTTCCTCGGGATGCCATACTTCATAAAGATTTGGGATACTTAAAGCAGAATTGGGGAAGAATGGCTTTGAGGCAGCTCCGTCCCTGCTGGGCCCAGCCCTTCCACTCCCACCCCCGCCCTACAGAAGCTTGGTGTACTTACAGGCATCTGTGCTGGGCAGCAATCCTGGGGTGAGCCTCTTGGAGAGTCCCAAGGCTCTATATTGAGGAAAAGTCCCATCTGGCCTCCCCTCCCCCAGCCGGCTCAGCTGGAGAGACAGGAAGGAGGGGTGGCCTCCTTCCTAGTGAGGCCCCATGTATGGACCCTTGTCATGGCTGGCAGTCTTGAATGACTTTCTTTATTCTCCCTTCTCTCCCCTACTTCCCCCTACTGCCAGCTGTGGCCATTTAATAAAATTAGCTTAATGCTTGTTCCTTCCCTGTGGGGTCTGGAGATTGAAATCCGCGGGTCCCCACAAACCCAATAAAACCCCTGGCAGGTCTGGCTGGAATGAGAGTCTCCTCGGGAAAAGTGATTAGGTTAGAAGGCGCTTCCCCCTGCCCCCAGTGCCACCCACAGCCCCCTGTGATTCTTTAATGGCCACATTGGCCTGGAATCACACAGCCACATGCCTGGGAGGGCTCCCCACCCCTTCCCAGAGACAAGGACTGGTCTGGGACCTCTGCTACAGTAAAAAGCGTGTTAATCATTTCTGTAGGGAGTGCCTGGCTGGCTTGTTTGCTTTGATTTCTGGTGACCAGAAGATCCTCATGTCATTTTGAGAGATGGGCCTCATATCTCTATTTTGCAGATGAGAAAATCACAGTCTGATGAAAATCTGTGACTTGCCCATGGTCATGCAGCAAGTGTGTGGCATAACTAGGACTGGACTGAAGCCAAGTGCTTTTTTTTTTTTCCTTTGCAGGGCACCTGGAATACCCAAAGTCACTCAGGCAGCATCCCAGCCACAGGGGAACCATTAGGAAAGTGTCTCCCCCATCAGACAGGGCATCCCCAAGGGCAAAGTCTGTTTTGTTTTATTTTGTTTCCCCTCAGACTTGAGATACCTGAGGGCAAGGACTGTGTCTTCACCATCAGAAATGGGAAGCTTCCTGAAGGCAAGATCTCTGTGCCCTCCATCAGACTGGGGGTCCTTAAAGACAGTGTTTTTGAGCAAGTAGAGGGTAAGGTGTGTATCTCCACTAAGACTAGGATTGGGGCGGGGGGGCGTTCCTAGATGCAGAGATTGTGGCTTTCCTCTCAGTGGCTCTGAGGGTAGATACTGCTTTTTCTATTAAATGAGGGCATTCTAAATCAGCCCCTGGGACTGGGGGTTCCATGAAGGACAAACTCTGTCTCTTTATCCAGCTAGGGGGGTCTCTGAGAGCAGGAGCTGTGTCTCCCCTCAGATTGGGGGCTCCCTGAAAGCAGGGCCTGTGTCTCTCCTCCTTCTCAGTCAAGGGCTTTCTGGCACAAGATTATTCCAGGAGGGCAGGGCTGGCTGGGTGGTAGAAAGGAGGCTGTCCAGGCAGAATGGCGGTCCCACTCTGGAGGAAGGAAGAAAGCTCCCCAGACTGCCTCCCCTTTAGAAAGATGTGTGATTAATTAATGAATAATGTCCCTGCCAGGGGGTGCGAGGATGGAGGTGGGCCTGGAGCTCACCCACACAAGGAACAGTAGGCCATCATGTGCCCAGCGAGCTGCTAGCCCTAGGGGCTGGGGCTGCCCTGCTTTCTGGGGTCATGGGCTCCAGAGGGGATAGCAGGAGCCCACCGCTGGGGACTGTCCTAATTGGATGACTTTGCAGGACGGCAAGGCAGGTGCGCTCAGCTCGCTGCATCAGCTTGCTACAAACACATCTGCCATGGTGAGGTCTGGGGGTTAATTGCCTCCCGCCTCACTCCTGGTAACCGATATTCCATTTACTGCTCGGAGGGGGAGCTGCCCGGAGAATCAATCCCGGACAAGCATCCAGGAGACAGGGGAGCTGCGGAGGCATGGGAGCTGTTTCCCCGGAGGATCTCTGAACGCCAGAGGAGGCAGGAGGCAAAAGGGCCCAGAGAAGACAGCCAATTGCTCCAGGCTCCCGGCGCCTCACCTGCGTTCTCGCAACCCTCACAGGACCCCAAGGGCCAGGAGAAAATCCCAGGGGTCCAGAGGCCGCACTACCCCAGCTAGCTGTGCTATTTCCCCTGCCCTGGTTCCTTCAGCATTTATTTATCTGAGTGCCCCCATAAGCTGTAGCAGGTTAGATGCTGTTAATAAGATTATTTTCACAAGCAATGAAGGTATATTTGAAAAGCGGAACTGGAGGTGTGAGCTCCTCGCTCCCTTCCAGGTAACAAACCTTAAAATCCTACAAATGAGGTGATAATAAAGTGGAAGTGAAGAGTCTGCACATGTGGGGAACTGGGAGGGGGAGCAGGGTTCCTGAGAGGTGGCAGCTGGGGGCTGGAGGGAAAAAGGGGGGAACTACCTGCTTTCAACATGCTCCCCATTTGTCCCATCCACCAGAACTGAGAATCAAAACCACCAAATGGGTAACTTCTATTCCACAGCCGGGAAAACGGAGACCCCGAGAGGGAGCCAGGGTTGCTCAGGTTGGTTCAGAGACAGCAGAAAACGGTAGACATGCAGCAAGTGGAGACAGAAGAAGTGGGTTCAAGTCTTGGCCAGGCTCGGTGTTTCAGGAAAAGACATGTGACCTCTGTGAGCCCCAGTTTCCTCATCTATATAACGGGGGCCAGTCAAAATACCTACTTGAAGGGTCGTTGTGAGATAGTGCCTTAAGAACCCATTTTCCTAAGTTATAAAGCAAAATGCAAATGCATTACTAGCGTGACCACCCAAGTCCCCTGAGCCCCGTGATTTAAACATCTTTTGGTGGCACTTCAATGCCTGGGATGGTGATGATGATTGTTGAAGAAGATGAAGGTGTTCTCCCCCGGTAACCCCAAAGTGAATGTGGGGCACTAGGGAAAGGGACTGTTGGGGGTACCCAAGATGTGGAGCTAAGTGTTGAGAATAGGTGCCCTGAGTTGTCCCGTGTCCCATGTGGACTCCCCCACGCCCTCGCCTTCTGTTCTATGGCCTCCGTTTTGGGGTGAGAACACAGGGATATCTCGAGGCCATGGTCTGCCTGTCTCTACTTGCTCTGCTTGTTCCAACATTACTGAACATCTTCAGTGGGTCAGGTCCTTGTTTGTGTGGGTTCCAAGAAACCCTCTGCCCAGTTCTGCTTCCCTTCCTTCTCTTCCACACCTGTTCGTTCCAACACCCCAGTAAACTTCCTGCCCCATGATCCCCGCCTCAGAGTCTGCTCCACAGAGGACCCAACCTGTGACACCTGCCCCCGATCTCATCCATTTTCTAATCCCTTCTGCCAGTTTTACTGAGGACCTATTATG